AAGGTAATTTTTAAATGTTCTGAGACTGCACAGTTGCATACAAAGCAAATTCTACTGCTGGATGCACTGTAAAGACATGCTGTACCAAGAATCTGGAATGTAAGCCTTACTAGAAAACACAAATTCCTCATTGAGACAGGGAAGTACAATACTTGCTGCCCTAACTGCAATACCGATCTGTAGTAGTATACCATGCAATGACAGCAGGACACATGCTGTTAATGCCTAAATTGCAAGCCACAATGAAGCTCTAAATTCTTCATCTGACTCCTGTGGGATAACACTCCCTTAAATAATTAAGTGGTAACAACCAAGAGAATTCAGAGTGGTAAGTCCTGCTATTAACCAATTTTCCAGAATGTCTCTAAGGTTTTCCAATGTCCTCATTTAAGTCAAGATCCTGCACTAAAAGACACCAAATAATTTGCATAAGGACTTTTTCCAATATTGACGTATTCCCACCATGAAGAAAAATGAAAACCACAAAAGGGAACAAAAGATTAACAGTTATCTAGGATTTAGTTAGATCCCCTCATTTACCAAAAAAGTTCAAATCTAACACCAAACCACAGCAGTGTTTTAATATTTGTGGCTCCTCCACAAGTTTAAGCCACAGAAAGAGACATATCCTGTGCAGGTTGCTGAGTGAAACTTCAAACAGCCTCGCAAATTAAGTTGGAGAAGAAATCATGTCTTCTGAGAAGAAAGGCAAAGCCCCTAAGCACCAAAGCTTCATTATAAAATGAAACAAAAGCAGCTAATTAGAATCTCTCAAATACTCACCTGCTATAGAAGTAATACTGTGTAACAGATACCTTAAATACAGTTCAGTCTAAAAGGATTTATGAACCTGCTAGAAAATACAACTAACAGATTTCAAAAGATCATAAACTTTTTTTTTGCCCTAAAGGAGCATCGAATATGACATACTGACACAAGTTCATCATCATCAAGTTGACTTGAAAATACCTTCAGAGATAAAAATTCAAGTCTCCTTGGAAAAACTTTACCTGAGTTTACTTGCTGCAATTAGAAAGTTTTTCTGAATACTTTATCTGAACTCCCCTGCAGCCATACAAACCTTACTCCTTGTCCTAGCCACCAAGTTCATAAAAAGAAGCTTTCCTTCCCTTTCACAGCCATCCTTTATATAGTTACATAATGTAAAATGCCTCCATCAGTATTTTTCTAGACAAAAATCAATTGTTTCAGAACCTGATGTCTTTCCTGTAGCTCTCCCCTAAGCTCCAAATTCTCCATGCTTTTTTAGTAAGTGGTACCCAAACCTGAACAAAGTTTTCTAACTTGAGGTTTTGTATGGAAATAATGCAAACCAAGTCTGAATACCAAAAGTACACAGATGTTTAAACAACAAAGTAGCCTGTAAGATAAAGATTGCCATATTTTACCTTATGTGTAATATTAACCTACCTATTCCTGAATTTGCTCCCGTGATTATAACCACTTTTCCACTCAAGTCACGACCCTGGAGTATTTCCATTGCAGTACTGTTTCCATCATATTTTTGTCTAGTAGTAGGTTTTACTGGATTATCTTCAACTGTAAAGGCCAGTCTTGGGTCAAGGTAGGTAGTCCTTTTGTTTATGTGGCTGCAAAAGAACACAAAAATTCAACTGCTTGGACACTTCTGTATTCTGCATTTAGATTTTAAATGTATTTCAACCACTGTTATGTACCATTCCCGTGGATTATTTAAATTAAAAAAATCAAAATTTTTTTTAAATTTTGTTAAAATAATCCCAATTACTTTTTTCATCAAACTTTTTTCCAATTGTGACAGCGTCCATTAATAATTGTATTCACATACTTCACAACGCCATTCTGAACTTCATGTGAACCCCTGACACAGAAAGCAGAATTTTTTCAAGGGAAAAATCTCATTATATTAGGGAAGATCATGTTCTCTTAGGAGCTCTATAAAAGGGGCCTACGCTACTCCCTTGAAACAATATACCAATGAGAAATGTAGCTCAGTACTTTTTTCTCAAACAACTGAAAACAAATAGCTTCACACCAGCTCAGCAAATGGCACAAATTTGGGCCAGGCTCACCTTTCTAAAACCAAGTTTTAGTTTTCTTCAGACATTTATCAGAAAGAGACACTAAGCAACAACTTTCAGTCTTCAGCCCTTAATTATAGGACAGAGAGGCTACGCTTACTCTTTTGGCCTGTGAATATTCTTCATTCTGCCAAGTCAGTTTAAGATAACTACCCCATTTTGACCCTGCCATTGAAAAAGATACAAAAGGAAGTGTTCCCAGAAATCCTTCTGCTTCTGTGAACTTCCTCCTCTCTTACCTCTCTAAAAATCTTTGCTAGCTCAATCCCTGTCCTCTTTTCTTTCTATGCTTTACATTGCAAGTGAGTCAGAGCTGCAGCAATTTTGTTTCATCTTGTATGTTTAAACCACTCCTGCAATGTTAACAATCAGCCATGAAGATCTGGGTATGCTTTTAACATTATCTGTACAGAGTTTATCCATAAAGGTATACAAACAAAATAAGCCTACATAACCATTGCCTGAGGGTCAGCTCACATTTTGAGATGTGGATGTGCAAGTCACTTCAATCTGCCCCCCAAGCTAGTACTTCTGTGCACATGGAAGAATTAGAATTCAGAAAACCACAAATGAGTGTTTAGACACTGCTACAACTGTAATATCTACATATGGATTCTGAAGTTGTACTTATCCATTTGTCTTTCCAGCTGATATTGTCACAGTATCGTAACTCAAAAAGGCTACCCAACATAAAACACAGTTGTCCTGCTTGTCCATATCCTGCATTTTGACATACTTACTCTACAAAATAGACTTGTCCATTTTCATCAGTCTCCTGCTCCCATCCATATGGCAGACCTAGGAAACACATAAAACATCATCTTTTTTCAGACATTAGAGTACACTCAGATTTGAAGTTTAAGTGATTTCTCAGACAGATGTGACAAAATTCTGCATTATTTCTGTAGGTAATGCAGCTACCTGCTGCACTTAAATATTGGAACTTGAAAGAAGGATTGCTTCCCTAATCACATGCAATTGTTCTCTAATAAAAGTACAATATACAGGAGATCTGGTACAACTGTAATGACCAGCATATTAAGTACAAAGATAATCTAAAAATTCTTTATAAAGATTAATGTTATAGCACAAACCGGCAAAATCCAACCATGCTTCCTAGTACATACACATGTCTACCCTGCACACAGTTTAGTATCTATCCCTGATAAAGCAAATAGCAAAAACTTTGAACTAAATATAGGAAAAGTTACATGTAACACATACCACAAGTTGGAAGATCAGAACCCTCAAGTGGGTATGGGATATGTTAAATTGAACCTAAATGATTCTATGAAGTTGGAAGGACAGATAGAAGAACAAAAATGACAAATCTTTACAAAATAAATTCTTATATAAAAGACCCTACGGAAGTACTTAACAGATAGCATTCCCAGTATTTCTAATCCTGGCTGAAAAGTATTCAATTATAATTCAATCAACTCAAAATCTACTGAAAACATTCCAGTTATAGTCACATTACCAATGCCAAAAGAAATATGGCTTGTCAACAGTATAGTACCCCCAGGTATGCCATATAGAAGCTTCTGGGAAGATCTAATTTAAGGCACTGATCCAAGGTCCTTAAGAAGTCATATACTTTTGGAAGTGTCCTGCAACATTGGCTGTCTTCTGTTCTGGCACAAACATTCAATTGGGTTAGGGAAAACAAGTAAAATGAAAACTAATGGGACTTCCTTCTGTGCCAGGGATATTGTTTGATGAAATACATTCTTTGAAGAATATAATCCAGCTATAAATATTATCTGATGGACACCAGGATATCAGAACCCAATCAAAGAATTCCAGCCTTTGACTATATGCTTTACAAGCCACAATAAAACAATCCCTTTATCCTGGAATTAGTACCTTGGCTTTATGGAGCAATACAAGAAAACCATAAAACTGCAAAACATTCACTCTACATGGACACGATGACATAGGTAAAGCGCCACTGAAATCAGCTGTATTTTGCAAGCTCAGTTTGCCTAGGTGATTAGTGTCAACTAGAAGATCAAAATGAGATCTGTTTCCTGCACAAACTCCAACTGATGTTTGTAACATAATTTCAGTTCATTACAAAAGGTTAACACAAACCTCCTGCAACACGTTTCCTCTTCCCAGACTTAGGATGTTCCCACTGTGTTTTTTCTTCCAGGTGGCTGTAGGAAAAGTTTAAGATTTTAAAAAATTGCCTAGTAATTCTTCTGATGTAATTAAAATTTTTTTCATACAGTAAGTACAGTTTAACTTTTTTTTTTAAATACAGTTCAGAAAATGGCTTGTCTTCTACAAAAAAAGAAACAAGTCAATCCCTTGTTTAAGAAAGCTCAAAACCACTGTTAGAAGATATCAGGCTTCCATATTGCCACAGTTCTGCAGGAAAAGTAACTAACCAGAGAACACAGGAGTCTACAAAAATTCAGATAAATGTTTGACTTCCAATCTAAGTTTTGTTGCTTATGATGAGAAGAAAGAAAACCCAAAAGTCATTAAAGAATAACATTAACAGACTCAGCAAATGTCTCAAAAAGATGGTGATCCTTGGCAGGAAAAAAGAAGAAAGAAGCAAGAAAAGAATTTATCAAAAACTAGCAGAAATAATTTAGAAAGTTTTCAAATGAAAAAAGGACCTTTCTAAAACTCTTGTCTAATAATACTGATTTGCAAGCTGTAAGGTAAGTAAGTCTGGATTTCTACACGAGCAATTGCAGCTTTGGACAGATAAGTTTATCCAAAGGCCTGGACTAGCAGACTATTTATTTAATATGGGTGATAGTGGTACCACATCTCTTCTAATTCAGAGATTTTATTCACTTAAATCACTATAACAGAATTAAATACTCTATCATAAGGTTTTCTGCACTACAGACTAATAAGCAAAGTGATGTGCACATAAACAAGGCCTTAAGATACCCAAAGTGCTGAAATCAGGTTGGATATCGAAATCTTATCTTTCATCAAATATTTTAAAATAATAACCAAGTTTTTCTATTAAGAGTCAGGCAGGGATTACTTGAAGGAGTGTCCAAATTGATAGCTGCCCAAGTATAAAATAAAGACTGGCAGCATTATTGAATAACGTACACAAATAACCACTGAACTACAGATCTAGTACCAACAGCAAATTACACATAACATAAGCAACTTTTCCTTCATATAATAACCACACAGTTACCCCACAGTGACAGCATGCTGTATTACAAGAATCACAGCTGGTGGTCTGAGACTAAATAAGTACATCTGTGTGACCTGTAGCACCTGAACTTCAGGACACTCATACACTAAAGATACAAGATCCTGAGTTACTCCTGCCTGATGTGAGATACATAACCAAATTACCACAGCTTGAGAAACAAATGCATGCCCACCGAGCTTCGGTAACTGACTGTGTGTATACCTAACTCATCACAAAGACCTTTAAAAGTCTTAAACCAAAGTAACCCTATTCCAGCTAAGTTTCAAGTTCATATTGTTAATGAGGTTTAAAAACAAATTTCCAGAATATGCAGAGGTACCACAGATACAGAACTTATATTAAAGGTAGCAGCAGTGTAACACCTCTTCATGTCAAATATTTTTTAGACACACTGGACAAGATTTTCAGCCAGTAAAGATATATTAACATCGTGTCATTAAATTAAATTCAATCAGCTAAGTTTCACAACAGCTAAAAACAGACGTATTAATTGTTTGTGTAAAAATTATGCTCAGTAATATCTTATTATTTTGTAGGCTTGCTACTTTCACAAAGTGATTCCTTTCTCAAAGAGCTTTTGAAGTCAAAGGAAATATACCGAAGCTTAACCTAAGAAAAACAAACATCTAGAGAGAATTTGCAGTGTTTACAAACCAAGTGTGGATAAACTACAGCATTCTGTCCAGTGTTTGTCAAGCAGAACTTGGGAGGAAGATGCCAACTCACCACAGGTGAGAATGCACTATACTTTTCCCCTTTTTTGTGGAAGGGAATAAATCTTGCAGCTTTAAGCAGACTGAAACAGATTCCAAGATCAGCATGGTTACAGAAACCACAAAAGGGAAGAAAAATATATAAATATATATTCCACTAAGTTAGTTAGCCCTGTAGCACATCCCCTGTTGTAACCAGTGAGGATGCAATCATTTTCAGAGTGGCACAGATAGTGCTAAATGCAAATTTTTATCTCTTGTTAAAGCTGTGGTATACTGAAGAGCTGAGGGAGAGCACTTATAGCTATTAACTTCCATCGTACCTGTTTCTTCTCTATTCCTACGAGGAGGAAAACTAAGAAAACTACAATATTGTACAAGGCTCAACTGCCCATATCTATAAAGATTACCCACATAACCATTAAGTGTACTGCAACAGCCA